CCCCAAAACCCCAAAACCCCAAAACCCCAAAACCCCAGTTTTTAAACAAAATATTGACACATTTTTATGGAAACTTTTTGGGAAAGAGAACAAAAGCAACAAAACCAGAAACTATTAGATCAAGAAGAATTTGACTGTAGAGATGATGGTATCAAGCATGGACTGTTTGATAAGACGCATCAGTCTGAAGTCCCTCTCTTTTGAGTCGAGACTAAGATTAAAATTCATAACAACATTGCTGAAATAAAGTTTCTTCAGTACTACTTTAATGACAAGGATGAGGATATCCAAGCAGAGTATATTCTCCCTATAGACACTAGCTGTATATTTACTCGCTTCAAAGCTTATGTTGGGGATGAAGTGCTTAAAGCTCATGTGCAAGAGAATAAAAGAATTGAAGATGCCTTGAACTCTGCAGGATACAAAAAGACTAACCCTAGCTGAAGCCCATTTTCACGACAAAAAGATATAATGAGCATCCAGATGGGAGATCTACCACCAAATTCTCCTGTCATTATCTCTTGTGTTTTCCACCAAGTAATGGTAGTTGAAGATATCAGCTGGAGACTTCATATCCCAAGTATAATCCATCCAAAATACTTTGGCGATCTGACAGGTGCTGTAAAATGAGGAGCAAACCTTGAGGAAATGATCAAAAATATTGACCCTGAAATAAAAGGGGAAATGCAAGAAAAACATGTTGAGAGAATCTCTTCTCTATATTCTTCCAATGAGCATTTATGGGGCTTAGCAATAGTGATTTATTCACAAAGCCCTATTACTCGTATTATTAGTCCTTCTCATCAAATAAAAGCTTCGTTCCTTGATGAGGACAACCAAGTTGCAAGAGTCGATTTGGAAAACCCAAAGACTAAAGATTTCTTTTCTCGTGATTTCAAGCTCATGTACAGAAACCAAGATATCAACATTCCATCTGCTATTGTGCAGAAGAAAGGAGATTTCTATGCTCTAATGGTGTGAATGCTTGCTGACTGCACTCATAAGAAAGACTGGGATGAAACTGCAGTCTCCATCTGTGAAGAAATTGACACCAACCCTGACACTAAGTATAAACAAAAATTATAGAGAATACTGACCCACCTCAGTACACCTTCATTATAGACTGAAGTGATTCTATGAAGGTAGACAATCGAATTGATATTGCAAAAGAAGCTCTGATATTGTATCTTAGAAGCTTACCCTGTCGCTGAGAGTTTAATGTGCTATGCTTTGGATCGAATCATTCCTTCCTTCTCTCGAGCTATCAACCTTACTCTGATGAAAGTATGGAAAAGGCTATAAGAAGAGTGAAGAAACTATCAGCTAATATGGGAACCACAGAATTCTACAGCTGACTAAAGGCCTTATTCTCTAATGAAGACCCAAGATCACTTCAGAATAATGTCATCCTTCTCACGGATGGTTGAGTCTCAGATTTAGACGAATGCATTGAAATAGTTCAAGAAAACTCAGCCAATTTTACATTAAATACATTTGGAATTGGATCAAGAGTGAATCCCAGATCTTTAGTGAGCCTTTCGAAAGCAGGAAATGGAGAGCATTACATAATTGACAATGCTTGAACATCTCTTAAGAAGGATATCATTAATTGTCTCTCAAGTTCATTATGTGATGAAATAAATATTCTTCGGAAAGACATTGCTGTGAGTGGTAATAAAATCTTTGAGTATCCGCCATTAGATGAGATAGAGACCACAATGGCTCATGGAAGCCAATTCACATACTTCTGCATTATTGATACGAAGGGCAAAGACTTCAGGGGAAGTATCTCATTTGATGTCCAAGAGAAAAAGGATGAAGAAATTGAGGATATCCTCCTTGATCTCCAAGAAGATGTCAAACACATTCCTGGTGACTCCATCTTTAAGATGTTCTGCGATACCTACATTAGAGAAAATAGTAAATATGAGCTAACGAGAAAAGACATCATTAGTATATCTTTACGATTCCAAGTAATTAGTGAGTACACCTCTTTGATCCTCATTGGTCCTGATATGAGAGTAAGAAAAGTCTTGAAAGACGGAAACAGCTCATCAGGATCTCCTCATGCTTCACTTAAAAACAGTAAAATTACAGTCTTTGCAGAAATACCGAGAGGCCTGACAATCTCAATGGATTGCTATGAAGATACTTTAATAGAACATCTTTGGAGATATCTTGATTTCCAAGAAGGTATCACTCCAGACTCATATCAGTTATCCTACGAAGGGTTGCTGTTACAAGAAAGAAGGTCTCTAGCAGATTATGGAATTCAAGATGGAGCCCTTCTTTATTGAGATATAAAGCCTCTTGAAGAGATATACCCAATAGTTGTTGATGAGTCCATATCAGAAATTACCCTGGACGAGCTCTTGGAAATGCAAAGCTATGATGGATCATGGGAAGTCGGCATGTTCGACCTGGCTGATTATAACTGGGATCTCCTCAGGCGCAAACTCCCCATCCAAATCAGAGACACCATCACCGAACCCAACCTCGTAAAAATCGGCCTTACCATCGTCGGCCTCCAAACCCTCACTAAATTCTTCCCTTCCCACTCCTCCCTCAAACTGATCACCCAAAAATCAACTGCCCTCCTCCACTCAGCCTCCCACACAAATCTCTCCCCTAAATCCCTCTCTTCCTTCCTCTACTGGGCCTAACCTCCAAAAAATTTCAACTGTCCCACTCAAAATCGGGGTTTTGGGGTTTTGGGGTTTTGGGGTTTTGGGG